CTTACTTGTTATATATTATTAGTTTATATTGATTGCTCTCCTCTCCCCTGGTAAAGGGTTCCTCGCGGCTCAGTGCCAAAAATGGCGCCCACTCCAGTCCGTGCACGGTGATTTCTTCAAAAGAAAAAAGTCTGGGTCTGCCTCCCTTTCTTCTCCTTCTGCTGCTCACCATCTGCTTCAGAGAGACTTCTCCTAGACTCTCCTTTGATCCCCATTTCAAAAGGGGGATCCCGGACGGGAGGGTTCCAGTTTTTCCAGAGAGCTCTTCTCTGGAGTTGCTGGCAGCACCGCAACAAAGCCCCACCTCGTTCGCATTCAACATTTCTCATGGTCAATCAACACATCAATCTCACCTGCCTGTCTTTCCTTCTTGTAACTTTACTGAGCAGAAATGCTCTTTGTAAAATATAACCCCAACCAGATGAAGGGATAGAGACTATGCTGATTAAATTTGCAAATGTTACCAAATTGGGATGGGTTGCTAATTCCCCAGAGGACAGGATTAAAATTCAAAATGACCGTGACAGATTAGATTCCTTGGCCAAAACTAACAAAATGAATTTCAACAGAGAGAAATGTAAGGTCCTACACCTAGGCAGAAAAATGAACTGCACATATATAGGATGGAAGACCCCTGGCTAGACAACAGTACTTGTGAAAGGGATCTAGGAATCCTGTTAGACCAATGTGTAATATAACATGAACATGAGTCAGCAGTGTGACGCGGCTGCCAAGAAAGCCAATGCGATTCTTGGTTGTATCAATAGGAATATAGTGTCTAGATCAAGGGAAGTGATAGTACCACTGTCACACACACCCAGTTCCCCTGTTTGTTTTCTCTTTCAGCATTCTCTTTCTGCTGTTGGACATAGTAAACTTTCTTTGGCACACTTCCCCCTATTTTCTGCTGACCAGACTCTTTATTCTTTGTGGTCTGACATTGAGAAATGAAGTGCCCTTTTTCTCCACAGCCGTAGCAAGTTTTTGGGGCCCTTTGTTCAAAGAAAGGGGGCTTGTCTCCATTCGCTTCACTGCTTTTATACCTCTGTTGATTTTGCTCTGAGGGTTTGTCCCTAAAATGGCTTCCAGTTGCCTGCTTGTTTTTGTGGTGATTTCTGGGCTCTTTCTTTCTGTCTTCCCAGTTTCTACCACCAAATTTTACTTCAGAAAAGTTTGGGGTTTTTTTATTTCTGATATAAAATATGCTGTCTCGCTTGTCAAACTGTTTTGGCTGTTTGTCCCTGACTAAATATCTTAGTTCTCCAGGTAAAACTGAATATAATTGTTCTAGCATAATTATGTTTTTCATATCCTCTAGAGATTTAACCTTACCTTGTTCTAACCATTTTTTCAGGTATCTGACTATATTGGCTCCTCAGGAATATGATTGTCAATGCTCTAAACCTCCTCCTGAGATGCTCAGCATTGATTCCAAATCTCGCAAAAACCAGTTTTCTAAAAACTTCATCATCTCTTGCTTGATCTT